GACCAAGCTTCAGAGAGGACTGTTGTCTCTCTCCCATGGACAAGGCAAAATCGTCCTCCATTCCATGTTTCGACTCCTGAGGAGCAGGGTTAGAGTTAGGGTTGCCAATGACTAATCCCAGTGGGGAGATTAGTCCCTAAAGCAGGGGTGCTCACACTTTTTCAGCATGCGAGCTACTTATAAAATGATCAACTCAAAATGATCTACCAACTAAAAAAATGCAAAACGTACATTTATTTTTATTTATTACATTTATTCATAAATGCATTGAGAATTCTTTATATGTACAATGTATGTTTATGTACCTTGCATAACTGCATGAGTGCATATTGCACAACACAACACAATTGTACATTGTTTGTCATGACCTGAGTTTACTCTGATGACTTGCCCTGAATGGAATGAGCCAGGGATGCATAGTCCGGACAATAGCTGCTGACAGCCAGCCTCAAGCACACTTCCAAATGATCATCAGTCATGGAACGGTACTTGGACTTAATGATCTTTATGTGGGAAAAGGCTGACTCACATAAGTAAGTAGAGCCAGATAATGCAGTCAAGGAGTAGCATATTTTCTCATGTTTGGGTTCTTTCCCTCTGCGAGTAGGTTCCAGAACTGTTCATGCCCTCTGGACTTGAGCTGAATGTCGGCTTGTAGTGTCAAAATCTCTGATTCCATATGAAAGTGATACATTTTTGTCTTGTTACTTGGTCCAGCTCCCCCACTCATTTTAATACATTTTCTTATGCTTAAGGGGAAAAAAAACAAGGTCTAAAAATTGGCGATAACTTAGCCTGTCACTTAGCACAGTTGTTTGTTCATGCGTTTCACACCTAAGATTGCATCTGATTGGCTGTGCTGTATATCGATTAAGTGACAGGATTGATGATAGGCTTACTTCAATTTTTTAATGCCATGTGATCTACCCACACTACATTTGCGATCGACTGGTAGATCGCGATCGACATGCTGAGCACCCCTGCTCTAAAGGGACCCCAGTTTTATGTCTGTGGAGCATTGTCGTCCCTTGGCATTGGCTTTAGCGCATCAGCAGCTCGCTGAAACGTTTCATTTTCTGTCAATTCTTGAAGTCTTGGTTATTGCTAATGCCTTTCTCCAATACCACCAGCTCTTCATCAGTTGCTCCCTCCTGGACTGGTTGTATTAGGGGGCTAGACTAGGGACAAAACGGGGTTGTCTCCCTGATGCCTGCAAAAGGCCACAACCATGCGGTTGGGAAGAAATCAGGCATCAATCAGACACCTGTGGGAAAATCCACACCTGGGCATGTGCAAACTCAGCCCCCTAGGCCCAGGTAAAACCAACCTGGGAACACCCCGCTAGGCCCGTGACATCACACAGGTGGGCCTGAACTCAGCCAATGGGGTCAGCCAGTATCTTCAACCGCGCCTCCCCAGTCAGAGAGGCCAAATACGCAGGGCACAGGCCTCCAGGTGTATGCTGTAGGCAGAGGGTGAGATTCCTCCTGTGTGTGGGTGCACACGTGCCTGCGTGCCCCCATCAGGGCCACTCAGGGCCTGCATTCTTTTGGCCCTTTGGATTTCAGGGTTCCACAAGTCTGGGTCTGGGGCTCCTGTTCTGTATTCTTGCCGCGTAGTTTCTCATGCTCAGCCGTGAATTCTAGTTCGGCCTTGCACACTTTCCAGAAACAGCGTGTATTCTTGAGACTGTAATCCCTGAAACTCCCCTCTCCTCATAAAAGTCACTTAGGTTGCAAACCGTGCTTCAGAGCCTGAAGTAAGAGCCGAGGAATCCAGTCCAGGAACCTAACAGTGGGATGTCGACCTGTTCTTCTCGGCATAGTAACTATGTGTCTTCCTTCCATCTTTTTCTGGATGCTTCCCGAATGATTCAATATTTTGTCCATTGAGGTCACCATTTTGATATGATGGGCTATGGAACGACGTACAGAATATTTTTTCTCTCTCAGCATTATAGTCCATAACTAAAAGGAAAAAAAGAGTTGCACCTTAGATGCCTACTCGTGAGCTTTTAGGACCCCAGGAATTGGCTTCCCTGTCCAGAGGAAAGCAACTTGACGATGCATGGACCATTCGGCCAACGGACTGAGGAGCCATTCATTCTTCGTCATGACTCTGAGACTGGACGGATTGGATGGTGCCCAAGTTCTCTGGCGATCACGCTGGGATGTCCTCAATCGTGTAGAAGGAAAATGTGGAAGAAAGTTCTAAATCACTTTTTAAAAACAGGTTTCCCGGTCAGATAGAGACTGGCCGGACCCCTGAGACTCTGACCTTAGTCACCCTTCAGGTCAGGAGCTGAACGCATCCC